TAAAATTTATTGTCCAATCAGAAATAAATATTTGAGTCACGTGATATAATTAGATCACGTGATAGGGGTCGCTATGGCGACAAGGTCGCCAAATATCATTACCCTTACTATTATATTTTTTCTCTAAGTAAATTAATAATAATTTTAGTAAATATAATCATTTTGGTTATTATTTTGATTTTATCATTACATTATTTATATTTTTAAAATAATTATTAGAAACTAAAAATTGAATAATACTTTTAATATATTTTTTTTTACATATATCATAAATAAGATCATATTGAAAAATACTTTACTGAGTTATTTTATTCATTATTAATAAGATAATTAAATATTAATATATAGTAACTTACAAAAGAAACACAACTACCTTTAAAAGCTTATAACAGGTTAACTATGAGGGTTAAAATCATAATTTTATATTTATTTTAAAGTCTAAATCTTGAAGAATAACCTGATATAAATTTAATATCTAGTTAATAATACCAAATTTTTGTAATTTAATGATTTACATTAGAATTACTTACTTAATAAATTTTGAGTATAGAAAAAATTTTTAATAGACTCGCTACTATAAAATTGACATTAGATTAAGATTTTCTGCAATATAATAATTCTCAATAAGCTATTATACAAATCAATTGCGAAGTTTATTGACTGAAAAATAGACTTTAACACATATAGCAAAGTTTTAAGTATCTGAAGAATAACAATTTATGTTAACAATCCTAGAGTCTTGTTCACGTCAATAAAATTATCAATGTAAATTACTACAAACAATATATATGTTTATATGAGAAAGCAATAATAATAAATTGGATTTTATATTACAAGTTTAACCAATTAAAGTTTTAAGGTAAAAGGTTGGTTTTATTAATTAGAAAAATTGGAATCAATATCATTCAATAATTTCAATAAGCTCTTATTCGCGAACTTACAAAATTAAAGAGTAAACAATAAACTAAAACTATTACAAAACTGTATTAGAATAACTATCTAATAACTGACTTAAGACTAACTGATTAACTACCTAAAATTGACTAAAAACTAACTTGTAATTCATTAAAAACTGGATGATGAGAATACATGAAATTTCTATCCTATTATATAAAACTTTGGATCTAACTTATTACTAAATTAAGATAAAGTACAACTTAATCTACTATAGAAACATTGTAAATATTGTTAACTTATTAACAAATTTAACTAAGTAAACCGATAGTAATCATTTGGTAGATTTAATGGATCCAGATTTAAAAGACGCGAATCTCGTGACCGTTACAAACATTGATGAGGACATCTTTTGTTTTTTCTCAACCAAGGATAAAATCTTAAGAAAATCAATAATACAGTTAAATTAATTACTGATATTTATGTAATTTTTCTTTATTATAAATATAAAAATTATTCATAAAAAATGATTTCATGAAATTATTAAAGAACATGTTCAATTTGGTTCATTTACAATTTAGAACTAGAGATAATTCGTGTATTAACTTTGATAATTAACATTGATAATTATCATGAAAACTAAAACTTTAAATAAAGCATTTGAATTCAGAAAACGCTAAAAAAATATTCAAATACTAACAAAATAACGCATCAAAAATCTGTTATGGAAATTAAATTATATCGTAGCTTTTAACATCTACACATTTGATTATTTATTGACTTATTTAGGTAATATGTGCTAAAGTTATTTTTTTTTTTTTTACTTTACAAGATATACATCGTGTCCTTTATGTGGATCATCCGATTAAATGCTTCAAGACAATTAATTAATGCCAGAAATGAGATTTTGTGATTTAATGGTCAAAGACTTGATGGTTGTAAATGATCTTTTATGTGTAAATTACTTTCTTGTTTCTAATAATTACATGCCTGTGGATTAACGGAAACTTGGGTAAAGTCACCCTTTTTTAAATGACTGATGGATTTAAGCAAATTATAATAGCTTTATAGCTTTATAGCTTTTTATCGTAACTTTGTTGTAAACCATCGTTTAGGAGATATGAACCATTCTTTTTATTATATTATTCACTACCAATATCGGTACCAACGAGGTGTCAAATTGTTGATCTATTTCAAAACTTTAATTATTTTCGGGTTAAATCATCTGTTCTCTTCGCTTTTGTCGGTTTTTTTAGAAGGATCCTTGCTAGAAATAAAAGATAAAGATCAAATATACGGTTGAATTGATGATATAAGAAATTAATTTACTTACGCGACTTGTTCAGAATTGGTCAAAATATCATCCAAGGTGACTCTACTCAAATTGATCCTATTTAAACAAATCATAAAAAAATCATAAGATAAAATAACGGGATTGTCGTAATGATCTTTGAATGAAATCATAACCACTTTCGAGATTTAATCACTTGACCGCGAAAAGTTTTAGTGAGAACGGAATCTAATTGAGGAGGTTTATCCTTATCTTCTCCTTCTTCTCCTTGTTCTTCCGGTTCTTTACTTGTCGATGCGCTTTCATTTGATTCTATTATTTTATCTAATCTAGGTCTCTTGGAAGGAAGGACAATGTTTGTAGGGGAATGTTTAGATCTTGGCAAGGGAGATTTTTCAAGAGTTATCCTTTGTTTGTTTGTTTCAGAATGATCACTAAGTTGCGATTCTAACGGTTCGCTTGAAGGCTCAATCTCTTTATCTTTATCTTTTTTTTATTAGAAAAAAAATTATTTGTCATCATTTTTTAAGCATGGAACTTTAAATACAAAACAAAACAATAAAAATAATCAATTTACAAATTTACCATTCGGATTTAATATATTTATTAATTTTTTCACTTTTCTTTTCTTGTTATTTAAGTGTTTTTTGAACTATATATATATATATATATAAAAATAATAACTAAACTGATAATATTAAGGAAATAAAAATAATATATATATATTGGATATGTAACAGTTATCCTACTTTATCTATCATCTTTTGATTATCGGTTTTACCACTAGTCATTAATTCGATTTTTTCTTGCGCGATATCATTAATCTTTGTCAAATCATTAACGCGCATTTCACAATTGACACTATTCATCTTTTTACAAAAAAAAAAAAAAAAACAATTATTATCAAATGTATTATGTGTTTTTAAAATCAAATTCTCATGGTTTTTTTTTACCATGATTTGATTCCTTTCTTCAATGAAATAATCCATCCATTCTTGCCACATTTTTACAGTCTCGATCTGCGAAACCGGATTCAACGAAACAGTTCCGAGAGTCAAATGTAATGGCTATTAACAAATGATTTGAAAAAAAAAAAAAGAGATAACGTGATTAACGTGATCGTTATTTTGCCAATTAGAATTTCTTAATCGATACCATGATTTCAGGCTGATCCATTAACCAATTCCAAGAAAGCTATCGAAGTCAGAAATAAAAAATAAAAAATCATATTAATAAATAAGTAAAGGAAATGGATCTATTACGTAATCAATGTCCATCTTTTTTATTCCTTATTACCTCGGCGTCATCAGCATTTCTATCGATCTGACACGATACAGTTTGATTTTCATACAATTTCTGTCCAGATAATGCAGCATAAGTGGCTTCACAAAATTTTTCCTCATCGCGTATCACATCAGGTTTAGTCCGTTTTATATCCCCCAAAGTGACTTTTTTTTTATTTATTTATTTATTTTGATTTGATTTGATTTTATTTTTTTTAGACATAATGGTCAAGACATTTGTTTGTTTATATCATATGAAAATTATTATTTTTTTATGAGGAAAAAAAAAAAAAAAATTTTTGTTATTCATGACATGACATGACGTATAAATCGTTCCTTATCTAAGTTTAACGTTTCGCTTAGTACTATTTGATTTAACTTTTAGGGACGTAGATAAATAATAATATCAATTTAAATTCTATTCTGTTTGTACCGTGTGATTGGGATATGTGATCTTTCCGGATCTACATTAAAAGTTTAGAATTTTAATATTAGAAAATTTTGTTTATGTTAAAAATTTTATTCCCCATGTTAATAAATTTTTTAATTTGTATAAGCTCGCGTATTCCCGAAATTATCAGGTTTACGTTCATAAAAGGCTTTTTTTTTGCTCTTATTTTTATTTTGAATGGGGACGCACAAGTATGGCAAATGATTCCTGCGGCTCACCAGAAAAAATTTTTTTTGTTTTGTGATGGAATTGCTTTGAAATTAACATCATTTTCTAGCGGCATTTCAAGATTTTTTTGAGGAGAAACACGTGTCGCGTCATTTGAAGAGGATGCTGTGCTTACGCGTTTAAACCTTGACGAATTATGCTAGATCTTTTTAAATCTTTAAACGGGCGTGGAATTTACGAATTCATTCTATGAGGAACCGATAATTTGTTATTTCTAGAAACCCACAGAATTTTAGCACAGGATTTAAACGGATATAGGTTGGTTCGCTGCTGATGATGCTAACAAAGAGGGAATTTCAATGATCATTTGATTTGTATAAAATTACCGGTTTCATATTTACGAGCTCCAGAAAAAAATTGTAAAATTTTTTGGTTCTCGATCTATAGTAGTCGAAAAAGATGAATGAATGCTAATTTATCGCATATACGCTACCGTCCTTTTTCGTCTAGGTGGGAGGGATTTGGGATGAGAAAGATTTGGGTGATATATCCTCTTGATAAAAC